GCATTTCATCATCTAATATGGACTTCAACTAGTGATTTGTCAGAATTGTAATACTTTTAAATTTATTATAATTAATGTAAAAGGTTGGCTTTTTCAACTTTTAAAGGTCTCTCAACTAACTATCATTAAAATTTATTTATGTGCTAATAAATATTATTGATTAGTTTTATTCATGGTATTTTAGTGTTGTCAGGTTCATTTTCTATATATTATCTTTGTGATTGGTTCCTTTTTATGCTATAAAACTTTTATTGTAATATAATATTCTTATCTTAAATTTCATAGGATTTAGAAGTCATGAAATGGAAGAAGTTGGTATTACAGGCCAACCAATTGATGAAGCCATGAATGAATTAGAAGCTAATATCAAACAGCTTAAAGAAGAATAAAGAGCCTTATATAATACTGAAAATAATATGTTACAAGAAATCATATCATAAGAAAGCACTACTATCATGGCTATTGAAACTAAATCTTTTACAAGAGAACGACAAGATGATACTGGTTTTCAAGATGTTGGGGTTGAGAAGGGTGTAGTGCTGGGCATAGTTCAACATCTTCTAAATCAGTTAAAAAATTTGATGAACAAATAGATAAACTCTAAAAGAGATTATAAAATTCAGTACTAGTTTCAACACTTACAATTCAAAATTAGACTCCTGCTACAGTACAAATTTATGTGAAAGAGGAGAAACTTGAAGTTGTGTGTATAACCGAGAACCCTAAGATAGCGACAACTGAGGATGAAGTCTCCAAGAAGAATTCATAATCACCCTTATTCCCACAAAAAGATATGAAATCCCTGGTTGACAAGTAAAAGAGGTCATTGCTTAGGCTTGGGGTGGGTCATCATTATCTAAAGGAAGATTTATCTTGCAGAGTTTGATGCAATGCAATATCCTAAGGTGTTTGCATCATCAAATTTTAAGGTATTTGATAGAGTTAATAACCTGAGACAATACTTAACTCATTTTCATGCAAGTTATTATAATGTTGTGGCCTCTGTCTTAAGGAGGTTGAACTGGGAATAGACCCGCCACTTATTTTAACAAGGAATGGTGGTAAAATATTATGAAAATGTTTAAGGAAATGATGGGAAGGGATTAAAATGGGATGAAACTGAAAAACATGTGGGATCAATTGAAAAGGACTAGAAGTTGTGGAAGTAATTAAAATGAGGATGCAATGGCTTGTATTGGAATCCAGTTAAAATGGACTACTGATGCTTCAGAGGAATGGTGGGCTAAGAGGATGGAGGTGAGAATATATTCATGAATTGCTTTCTTTTCCCGACTTTCTTTTTCTAAACTGTATGAACATATCCACGTCCCCTTATAATGCACATAATGCAAACCGCCAATAAATTCAAATTCAAAGGTATTGACCCTAATATGGAAGAAAAGTTGGACCGTATATTTGGTGAAGTTGTGGCAACGGGGACTAATTTCTGCACCCCCAGAGAGCAAGGGTTTTCAAACATACGTAAGAACTTGGATGTTTAGCAAGCCACTGACTCCGGTGAAGGCCCAAGCCCATACCAATAGGTCAAAGCGTCTAAAAGTAAAGATAAAAAAAGGGTTGCTTTCATATAAGCCAAATATCAAAATCGGTGGATTCATGCACCAGTGACCCTGAGACTTTACAAGCGACCTCTGTTGAAGAAGTTATGCGGGCCTGGAGGCAACTCCAGAAATTTATGAGGATTTTCATTCTATTTTAACTCCATGAAGTTACTAAAGGACTCGACTCATATAGAGTTCTTCGTGAAGATAGCCTGTGACTATAGGGTCAATTATTTACATTTTTTTATGACAGTAGGGAGCATTGATTTTATTCAGTTATCTTTGCTCTATTTGTATTTATTTTCCAGTAGGTTTATCACATTTTGTATTTCAAAGTTTTTTGCTTTTTCCTTGAAACAATGTTAATGTTATTTTAGATGTTTGTCTTTTTATCGTACACTTTGTAATTCGTTATGTAAATTCATTAAAGTTTATTGATTCACATGTCTTACCTGAACGAAGAACCTGTTCAACATGGATTCACAAAGAGAGAGATGTATAAGGAGAACTGTCATAGTAGCATGCTTGATGTGCGGGTACTACAACTCATATGTAAATCAGTCTCCCTGGACGACATCATCTTACATTGGTGATAAATGGGTTATGGAGATACTTGAAGGACACCATATAATATTCAATAATATGTTTCACGTGACACAAACCGTATTTATAGATCTTTGGATGAAATACATAGGAATCATATACTTCATGACTCTTCTAGAATGACAATCAGAGAGGTATTAGCAATAACCCTCTACATTTTGTCATAAAAAGAATCAATGAGAGGAGCGATTTCAACATTCATCGAAGACAATCAACATATACTTTTAACTAGGTTGAAGGCTCTTGTTAATTTGTCATCAAAGATTACCAAGCCACAGGATCTAACATTTAAGAGGACTCCAATAATGATTTCCAATGACCTGCAATATATGTCATTTTTTAATGTAAATATTTTTTTACTCATTATATTCATAAGTCAAAATCAGTAATGTAATTCACATGACCTTCTTTAATTTGTTAGAATTATATTGGAGTGATTGTTGGAACACACGTGGATGCAGGTGTATCTAATAATAAAAGAGTCTCATTTATTAGGTAGTGTGGATCACTAACACAAAATGTGATGGTTATATGTGATTTCAACACCTGTTTTACTTTTGTTATGGCTGGTTGGGAAGACAATGCACATGCCAAATGTATATTCACTTTTGCCACAAGAAATCAAAAGCACAACTCTTCTCACCGACTCCAAGTTTGTTCAACTATTATTCATATTTAGATATATTTTTTTTAAGTTCATTACTAATTATTGTATTTGTAATGCATAAATATTATTTGGTCAACACAAGATATCTCTTACGAAGGGGTTATCTAAAGCCATTTTTGGATACTAAATTTCACATTCCCGACTTTGAGAGATCCAGTAATGTTGCTTGGAGCAGGAAAGAAATATTTAACAAGAGAGACTCATCCTTAAGCAATGTAATTAAAAGTTCATTTAGAGTGCAAAAAAAATGAGTCACACTGCGTGACATGCCAACATATCCATTTTCAAAGCAGGTGCAGATTGTAGTGGTCATAGTAACACTCCACAACCATATTCGATAACAACATTCACGCCATGATGTAGACTTCAGCATGGTCGACGACGTTGGATATCCCTTACAAAGGGTGTATCTGAAGTCATTTATGAATAACAAATATACTATTCCCGACTTTGAGAAATCTAACAATGTTACTCGGGGCAGGAAATAAATGTTTAACAAGATACACTTGTCCTTATGCAATGTAATTGAAAAAATATTTGGAGTTTGAAAGAAAAATATATGTTATACTGTGTGATATGCCGACTTATCCATTTATGAAGTAGATGCAGATTGTAAAAGCCACAATAGCTCTCCACAATTATATTCGACGACATCATTCACACAATGATGTAGATTTCAAAATGGGCTATGATGCTGGATATCCCTCACAAAGGGGGTATTTGAGGCCAATTTTGGATACCATGTATCACTTTCTTGACTTTGAGAGATCAAATAATGTTGCTCGGGGCAGGAAAAAAATGTTTAACAAGAGACACTCGTCCTTGTGCAGTGTGATTGAAATAATTTTTGGAGTGTAGAAAAAAAGATGGATCATACTGCATGATATACCGACATATCCATTTCCGAAACAGATGCAGATTGTAGTGGCCACAATGACTCTCCACAACTATATTCAATGACATCATTCACGTAATGACGTAGACTTCAGCATGTCCGATGATGATTATTGTCCCTCCTGAAGCATTTGAATATCATATAATAAAATATATACCACATACAAAAGTAGAATCACAAGAGGGTTGCACTCAGGATGCGCAAAGGTGCTAGTGAAATGATTGAATTGAGATAGCGTATTACAAATGCATTGTTAGGTATTGAATGAACTGATTCTTGTTTAGTTTATACAGTTCATGTTTAGTTATTTTCAGTCTTTATTTAATATTGATTGTTTGGGTTTTTTACGCTATTTGTAAGTGTTTTTTACCATTTGCATTTCTTTAGTTTTTTTTTTTCTGATGGGTTTAAGAGGACATTGATGATACATTTGACATTATGGGCTCTTTTGGATGGTGTCTTAGTCGTTGTTGGTTGATGCCACATGTGAAATACTATTGAAAACAACTAAGTTTATCACTTCTTTTTGGTGTTGCGATTTTTTAGGTTCTTCTGGATGACCTATTTTGGTGATATACATATGTGACACACATGAGCTTGTTATTATATGAGTTAAAGACAATCAATAGCCATTTTTTTATAAGATCTGTTATTTTCCTATAGTGACATGTTCATTGGTTGGTATACTGAGCTCTTTGTGATTTCATGACTGCAAAAAAGTGTAATTAATTACATTTCTTATCAATTTTTACTTGTGTTATGACTAATGAATTATCTTTTAAAACATTTAGAAAGATGAACTTAAGGATTTTTGTGACTTTATGAGGATTGTCATGTGACTGTTGACTTCATAGTTCCCTGCTGGTGTCACATTTTTTTACGAGACACAGGTATACCGTTGTCCACGAAGAATCACAGAGAAATATGACTTTTTTAGGTGGACAGATTGGCTGAAAGATTCCATTGCCAGGAATGATTGAGCATGGAGAACATCTTTAGAGGACGACCTAATTCTTGACATACGCCATCTGTATTTTAAAAATAAAATTATCCAATTATTAAATATTATTTTAATATTTTTTATCTTTATTTTAGTAATAATGGTAGTCACTCTTAAGTGAGATGTATATCTTATTTTTTATACTGTTTTGAATTAAATTTTTACTTCAAAAATATTTAATATATTGATATGCTAGTTCTATTAAAAATAATATTACTATACATTATTTTTCGAGAAATAATAGGGCAACTATTTTAAAATTTCAAAAAACAAACAAAGCGAGATTGTGGAGAGAATTCTTTGACAGCCGTCCCTCTAGCCTTTCGGACCTTCTACCCATTTAAAACCCTCCCAAGGTCCTTGGCGCCCACCTCCCTGTTCGCCGCTTCTCTCTTCCACTCCTCCTATAATGGATGGCGGCGACCTGCACTTCGATCCGCCCATCCTTCTCGCCGGTCCTTATCTTGGAGAGATTTCCGCCCTTTCCTTCCTCCCTCTCCCTTCGCATCTCTCTTCCCTCCCACTTCTCCTCGCCGGTACGTTCTCTCTCTCTCAGTATCATTTCACTTAACCCGCAATCCGCCTATTCGTGATTATTCTTCTTGCACGTAGGAACTGGATCGGACCTTCTCTTCTACAACCTCGTGACTGGGACTCTACTTCGCTCGTTTCACGTCTTCGACGGTGTTCGGGTCCACGGCGTATCCGTCCGTTCTTACCCCGACCCTTTGATCGCGGTTTTTGGGGAGAAGAAGGCCAAGCTATTTGCCCTTCTTGTGGACGCTAATCCGTTGGAGGTGAGGATTGAGCTTTTGAGCCAGTTGCCTCGCTTTGAACATTGGATTCTGGACGTCAAGTTTTTGAACGATGAAAGTTATCTTGCCCTGGGGTTTAGTGATAACTCGTTGGCTTTCTGGGACGTTAATAATTCGACTTTGGCTGGGAGGTTAAAGTCCCCAGGTTGGTTATTGTATGAGGTTTCTGAATGAAGGTTCTAGATTTATTTTGCTGGTTTCGTTTGATGATGATTTGATTGATGCTTTTAGAGAGGTGCCTATTGTATTCTATGCGAATATGGGGTGAGGGCTTGGCGACGCTACGGTTGGCCTCTGGTACCATCTACAATGAGGTTGGCTTGTCCCTTCTGCTTCTCTTTTTATTTACCATTTTGGCTTAAGTACTGCATCACACACCCACAAAGTCAACGCATTTTCAATATATTTATCATGCGGTATCTCAGATATAAGAGGAGTACCATCTATGATTAAATGGTGAGTCCATATCAACTTTGTATGAGGTATAACTCAGGGATGATGAGGAAATGTGGAACCAATATCAAATTTTTATCACATATAAGTTAGGGATGATTCTGAAAAAATAGATTTCTTGAGTGAGTGGAATGGATGTATATATTTTTTTTTATTTGATTACATCAATTTTATTGTGCCTTGGGATCTCTCTTATATTTTTTGTAGTATACTTGATACAATGATACTGTCTAAAGGTAACATGTCACCTATAATTTCCTGGAACTTTAAATGCAGTTCTAATTATCAAGATCCCTTGCACGTGTGCTGTCAGGAACAACATTTATTGATAGACAAATTTAGTCACAAGTGTCATTCTTTGACCTTATGGTTAGATAATAAATTGTGGGCCGATTTGGTTTGGTGCAAAGTAACTAGGTTCATGTAAAACTATTATGCAATTTTTTTATTTTTTATTTTTTTTTGTGTTTTAATGAGAAGTTGTTGCATTTATTTTACGGAAGGCAAAATTTCAGCTCTTTTACTTCTTAAAGCCAAACATCTAATTAATAAGTGATTTTTCTACACATTTATTTCCATAAAAACCAACCAATTACTTGGCGCGACCAACTCTTCTTTTTTATAAGTAATTCGTCATTATTAGCAATAATTTTTTCTCAATCATTCATGTTCGACGTTTTCAATCTTTTTTCTCTGGTGATCCTTGTTTTCACACAAGTTCCTTTGTAGTCATTCTAACCATATGGCCTTTTTTCCAACAATTTTTATTCCTATTCCTTTTGCGCTAATTTTTCTACCTTTCATTAGAGAATCTTCTACCTTCTATTTTATATGCTCAAAATACTTAAGCCCACTTTTCAATATTCTTATCTCCAATATCTCAATCAATGGGGTCATCTTGTCAATGTTCATCATCCTTTCCTTTACAAATAACAATCTTTTCAATTCGTTTGAATGAATTAATGCAATTTTTTTTTGGGTAGTCTGCCTTGCTTGTGATGTGTGCACAAATTTTTAGTGGGCAGTATTTCATGATATCTGCATACTACATGGTAATCCACATTTAATCTTTTGCAATGTGGCCTGGGCAAGGCTTATGTGCATTAATTTGAATGAGATATTGATGCAGAAATCATGATATATTTTTAATTACACTTGTGAAGAGGTGTGTGCCTAGGGTGGTTTCTTGCTAGCATTATCTGTTTTTCCTTTCTTTTTAGCATATGCATTAGTGTCATGCAAAACACCATGGTACAACTTTCATGAGAAGGTGGATAATTCTGGTTTGAGCATGATCCCGTTAGAATAAATCAAACTTCTTTTTAGGGACATTTTATGCACCCAGGTTGGCATGGCATGATCCTCAGGTTCATGTGCCACGTAGCAGATTTTTCTAGTTTTATTTCTTGGGCTATCAGGGATTCAGGTTAACTGGTTTGATTGTGAACCCAGCCTCTATTTAATAGCCTTTATTTTTTAGATAGGCTTTTCATTAAAGTATTAGTAGAATTCTGGTTGGTTGATTGAAGTGGAGGAATGCATCGGGCCTATTGTGTGATAGAAAATTACCGCTCAGACTGAAAGGAAAATTTATGAGATGGTGGTGAGACCCGCAATACTCTATGGCGCAGAATGTTGGCCTTTAAAAGAGAAGCATAAAACAAAGTTAAGTGCTGCTGAGATGAGAATGCTTAGGTGAGAATGGAGATGAGAATGCTTAGGTGGATGAGTGGCTTGACACTTAGAGACAAAATGCGAAATGGATATATCCATGATAGAGTTGGTGTAGCTCCAGTAGTGGATAAAATTAGAGAGAGTTGCCTTAGATGGTTTGGTTACATTAAACGCCGACTATCTGATGATCTGATTAGGAGACTAGATCTAGATGTTTTAGAGATGTTTTAGATTCGACTTATGTTAAAAAAGGCAGAGGTAGACTTAGAAAGTCTTGGTTACATTGTATAAAAAATAATCTTAATTTATTATAATTAAATGAAAATTTGACACTCAATACGACTCAATGGAGAAAAAGGATTCATATAGCCGACCCCGCTTAGTGGGATGAAGGCTTGTTGTTGTTCTTTTTGTTTGATTCTCTAGAACTTTGCTTAAACATATGTTAGTAGGTTTATAAAGTAACATTAGATTTTCTTAATTGGTGTTTGTGAAATTCTTGTAACTGCAAATATGATTGGAATTTTGTGCTCTTGTTCTTTATTGTTGGCCACACCATTGTGTTTTAGTGTTTTTTTGCTTAATTCATTAATTTAGTTATTTGTGTTGGAAGTTATGCATTTCATCATCTTTTTTTAATAGCAGCTTTTGGGGAGAGCAATTGCCGATTCAACACAATTTTTTTTTTAGGGCATTTGTATCCTACTGTGCTAGTGTTGTATGTTTGAATTCCATCTTAGATGCCTCCTTGTAATGTCTTTATTTTAGAACTTAAAAAAAATGATGGAGCCAAACTTTGTATCCAATAGAAATTAAAAAGCTTATAGTCATACAGTAATGGCATGATAGAAGTATTGTTTCTCTTGAACCGTAACTATTTTATGCACACATTTATAATTTTGCAAATTATCAACACATGTAATTTATGCATTTATGTATGTTTTGGCATATGGTTATTTTATTGCTTTGTAAATCCATAGTTTCATTAATGTTGGTTGACATATGCATTTTATCTAATGTGAATATACTTATGGAAATGTATTTAATGTCTTAACACTCATGAGAAATTGCAGATGTACATACTTGTCTGCCTGCAATATTTGCTTCCTTACCATTTTTGCATCCAAGTTTATTCAAGATGTACTGTAATTACATTCATTTTGCAACCTATATCCTGAATTGCTTCATGTGTAGTAGTGCTTTATTTCCCTCAAACAAATAAGAACTTGTATTTCCCATGTAATTTTGTATATGTGAAAGTTATGATCTGTTCTACTGATTCTGTATACAGGTTATTGTTTGGAGGCTTAGTTGTGAAAACCGGCATGCATCCATACTGTCCCTGGAACCTATCAAAGAGCGCACATATCATGATGAGGCTACTAAAATTGGGTCCCAAAAATTTCTTCCTATCCATTTGTGCAGGCTCATTGGCCATGAGGGTTCAATATCTCGTATTGCATGGTCTATTGACGGATCTAAATTGGTGTCCGTCTCTGATGATCGAAGGTATGCACTTTGCCATTTATGGAGTCTTGCCGCTAATTTTTATGCCCATTTCCTCTAGTTTGTTGTGACATTTTTATTCTAGGACAGTGCTCGCATCTGGCTACTCAATAGCATTGGAGTACAGTATCATGGTTCTGAGGACAATCTCAGAAGTCATGGCACAAATACTATTGTGTTCTTTGGTCACACTGCTAGAATTTGGGACTGCCATATATCTGATTCTGTAAGTTTTAATAATTAAATTATCAACTTCATACTTTGTTACTGAGAAGATTGTATATTTTAAGGGCAGTTGGTTGTGGCTTATGATATCTCATGATATTCATGCATGCACACTTTCTTGCTCCTGATTTTCAGTTTTATATAGAAAAATTATATCTGTGCTCTCATTAGGGACTATTGTTTATCACCATGGCGACCCTTTCACTAGAGAACTATCGATTATCAGAAATTGAAATTTTTATCATTTATTTTTTAGGTTCTTTCCTTAGGAAGGTGCTAAATATGTGGTTTAGAGGGGTTCGTTTGATTTTACTTTTCTTTAATTCAACTGAATATAACAATAGCTGTTGTAATGCTCGATGTATAACTTTACCCAGTGGCTGAGTGGATGAATGTCACGTGAAACTTATTTGATGCATGAAATGACAAATTAATGATGGCATTGAACTTTCAAACTATAATTTTTCTTTTCAATGACCATGCAACAATTGATGACTGATCTTGATGCCTTCTTCTCTGTGAAGCTATATGCCTTTTATTCAATGTCCATTTAGAATTTTTTCTTTTTTCTTTTTGGATTTTTACTTGTTAGCTTGATGATGCTGTTTTGAATGACCTATATGGCTTACTCTATTTAACAATGAAAAAAAAAAAACTTTTGTTTGGAATATTAGAATAAAAGTTCCTACTTTCTAATTTTGGCAAAGACATGAGATATACTAATGCGCATGTGCCGCTATTGTCACATGCAATATATTTCCTATTTTATATGTCTAGTTTTTCATTTTGATATACATTATTGTAATTTGTTTTTAGATTTGTTATGCATGTTTTTATTGATTGTTGGAAATTTCATTTTAGTGGTGGTATAGTTTATTGCCCAAATGCTGCATGAAAGTCTTAGGCACAGATGAATATTCTACAATACATAGGAGGTACAAGATTTTTTTTTTTTTTGGTGGGGTGGAAATTTTTTAAAGAGATGGAAATTTTTTAAAGAGAAAATTCACGTGATTTTGCTCAGTCTAATTAACTTAATATGGAAGTCTAAGTCTATAATGATCCTCCCTTTTATATTGCGCATGAGTCAGCATTACGAGGCCTGAACCATAAGTCTTCTCTCTCAATAATGATAATGTAGGTTGTTGGAGAGCTATGGCTTTGATGGATAAACGTTAGACAACATTGGATGCCTATGTTTTAGTCGAGCGACATCAACCATTGGATGAAGGGAAGTGATGACTATTTTTGTTAGTTGATGACAATCAGTGGTGGGTGGTGACAACTATCATTTACTTTTTTTGACAATGTTCGTTGGAGAATGAGAGATGGAGGGTGCTAACAATTACCAGTTTATTGATGAGGAGCAATGATAATTTTCAGTAAAGACCAACAATGGGGGCTTTGGAAGTTAGACAATGAAAGGTGGTTGGTTTGGTTCTCTACGTAGCTGGTTAGTAGACATAGCGAGCAAGATAAGTGTAGAAGTTACACAATTGAAGTTTCAAGGATAGCCTTTTGAGGCTTCAAATGACTACTAAATCTATGGCGTTCTTTTCATCAATAGTACGTGACTTATTTATAGGATTTTGGAGGGATATAGTAGTTCATTTCTGCAAAAAATCCAAACACTTCGTCAAACGATATGAATAAATTATTTTTTAATATATACTTTTAGGTCATTTTAGTGCTTAATAAACTTAGCCTTGAGTGATCTTGGACTCATTGGATTTGTTTCTACAAGACGCTTGTTTTGAATTTATCTCTCAAATGACCACTAGAAGTTTTCAATTATACTTATGAAATTTGAGCTCGAATCTCTACACAACATTCTTGACTTCATTGAGTTGCCTCATCAAACTGTATTGGCTTGGCTATAAGTTTAATGGAGATTGAATGATCTTGAAGTTTCTATCTTAGATATTTGGATATTTTGTGATTTGAAATTCACATGAAGTTCTAATGAACTTTCTTGTAATTTATCAATTTCTCGTATTTACGGATGTCAACATTTGTGCGTTCAATGATACTTAGGGCTTTGAAAAATTTGGGGCATAAAATTAGAACTATGGTGGAATTAGTCGGTGCTACTACTCGAATGTCAATGCGTATCTCCCCTTGATGTCATGAAGCAATTATTTTCATTTAGATTATAATTTAGACTTTTTAGTGAAGTTTGCATGCTTTTCAGGTTGGATATTATTAAAATTTTTTAATTAAAATCCTCCAAAATAACTAAATTAATTTTTGAGGCTTTATTGGAAGGATAGTATTAAACTTGAGATAAAAATATTGAAAATGGTCTTGGTTCTAAAAAATGTCAACAAAATTTAATTGAGTATGAAAATTGGCTTGACCATTCTTGGGCTGGTTCTGATGGCTTGACCAATCGTAGGCGGGTCATGTAATTGGCAAGCGACAATAGTGGCACATTAAAAATAGTTTTGTGACGTATGTATCATTTATTTATTTATTTAGTTATTTAAGTTTTTGAAATTTCTTTGCTTATCATCCATTTTAAATCTTATTAAGATTTGAATATAATCAATGCATCATTTTAAAATCCAAAAAAATAGCCACTACAATTTCATAAAAGATTTGAAAAACATTCTCTCTCCTCATTCTCTCAAATCGTATGAATACTGATTATGCATTGGTCAATTTGGTCATTATAGAATTGGCGACGAGGAATTGGTGATGAAATGTCATTGGCTATGGTCAACAATGATTACCATCGATGAAGACGTTGGAAGGTGGTCGAAACAATGAAATTTTCTATGTTTGATATTTACCGAAAGTGGAAGATGTGGCTGTCCTCACTCCTTACGAAATTGTAAAACTAAACGTCCGAGTGCAAAACTAAACGACCATGAGTTTTACATGGTGGTGGGAGCTTTGGAATTCTCTCTATTAAATATTCTTAAATGAACATGATCTCTTTATAGAGCTTTGGAAGGAGCGTTCTAGTCATTTCTTCCAAAAATTTGGATATTCTATTGAACGTAATGAATAAATCCGCTTTGATCATGATATATTTTTCATCATTTTGTTGCTCTAACGAACTTAGAGTTTTGGAAATATAGACTTGACAATTTTTGTCTTGTCAAAATTTTTGGTTTGAGCTCTTGTCAAAATGCTTGTTTTGAGTATCTGTGTGAAAACTTTGGAGGACATTTGGGCCTAGAAAAGTTCCTATTTATAATTTTGAGTCCTTGATTTTTATTCATTTGAACTTTAGATCCACATGCTCTTAGCAATATTTGGCTTGTCTTGCTAAACCGTGTTGTCTCGATTGTATTTTTGCTGAAAATGAAGTTTGAATGATCAAATGAATTCTTGAATTTTCTAGTGCTTCAAGATTTGAACTTTGTATCAAAATTTGAACTTTGTATCAAAATTTGTGCTTATTCAAACGTTTTTTTTTTTGGTGATGTAGGGTGATGTAGCAATACCTATGTTTTTGGTGATGTAGCAATACCTATGTTTGTGTACAAGATGAAGTTTGCCTATTGTAGCTGTAGTTTGATGGGCGAAATATTAAGACAGAACTATGAATCATAATTTATGTGAATTTCTGAAAGTAATGTACTATGAAATATGAATGTTTATCATTTAGGTGTAAATTTACAATTGCTTTATCTTTATACCATTATATTCTCGCTTTTTGAGATATGTAATACCTCATTATTCACACTTATACCACCCTTATGCACTCTATAACTTTTCATGTTTACATAAAATTTCCATTCTATAATGTAGGTCGCATGACTTTAAGTCAGCAAACCGTAATTATGTATATTTTTTGTAATACACCCATTAAGACCATATATTTTTTGTAAAACACCCGTAATAACTTTTTCATGTTTACATAAAATTTCCATTCTATAATATGCTTCGTTGCCGTGCATTTTTATTTGGGGCCTACACTTGTATTTGTCAATTTTTACCTCATTAGTGATTTTTATTTGGTTGTGATTGTGTTTTTGGGCATTGTATGGATAACTAAACTTGATATTGAATGTGCTGTTTAGTTAGTTATTACAGCTGGCGAGGACTGTACCTGTCGGATGTGGGATTTGGATGGTAACCTGCTTTTGATGTTCAAAGAACACATGTAAGTTGATCATGTGTTTGAATTCGATCGGTGGAAGTATCTCTGGGCAATGTTTCTGAAACTATTATTATGTTTTAAATTCATAGTGGGAGAGGCATATGGCGATGTTTATTTGATCATGGCTCATCCCTTCTAGTCACTGCTGGATTTGATTCTGCTATTAAAATGCGTCAGGTGCATTCTCCTTCAGTTTCAGAACCGACGAAGGATGATAGGCTGCTGAATAACGGGAATGATGTAAGAGAGATTTTTACTATTGCTATTCCTCAAGTAGCCAGACAGCATGGTCCGATGGACAGGTCCACACCTATTCTGTTCGTTGCATAAGATATATTTTTTTGAAGTACTTATTTAAACCATAAAGTCCTAATCTGTTTTTCCATGTTTTTTTAAAACCATTAAAATTGATTGACGATGTAGATTTTGAAGGCTTTGAATTAACCGAATTGCTTTAAAGTGTCATCTCAGAAAAATTAAAATGTACTGAGATCATTGCCTTTTAATTACATTGTCCCGCAAATTTTTTTTATTATTTCCTCGTCAAGTATTTGTATCTTTTGTGTTAGCTGGTACCCTTTGTACGTCCCTGATTATCAAATACAATAGGAGATGATTAGATTATCTTTGTGACACTTATGATCACTAGCAGTTTAATAATATTAGTACTAATACTAATAATCATAATAATAATTATTATTATCATTGTTTTTATTGTGTCATACTCTTTTTCTGTTCAATTGTGCAACAAAAAAAAATATTATTATTGACAAGACAAACAAACAAGCAGAGTTTCTATTTCTAAAAAAAACAACAGAAAATGGTTTTCAACTTTCACGTCACTTCTTACAAATTTCTTATCAATATTTGTTGGCGTTACTGGGGAGTGCTATGCATAATATTGTGCCGTTCAGGCACCCTTTAGAGGGTTATGGTGAAGATTCTCATCCAAAAGGTTGGGAGAGATACATAGCAGCTCTTCTTGAGTCACTAAGGAATCATTTGATCTTGGATGGCCTCTTTAGTGAACAAAGTAAAACTACTTGTATGTTGATCTTGGGGCAATCTGATTTGATAGACCCCGTCACCCTGCTTAACATCTAGAATTGGGGTTTGGCATTGATATTAGTGTCAGGGATACAAGAACTTCTTAAATATTTGTGATATGTTTTTTATCTTTTAAAAATGCTTGCTTTGATTTCGTAGTATTCCTTACACAATGTTCATGCTAACATCCTTCTAGGGCTTATATGGAATACATAAATGCGTACTAAGTTTAGCATTATGTGATTTTCTTAAAGAAATGTGGTATTTTTTTTAGGGCATTTTATGAACTAACAGATTTATATGTGAGTTTGAGCAAATGTATTTCTGTTGGATATTCAAAAGTAATTATATTTGCATCAACATTCAGTAGCATCTTGCTTAGAAACACTGAATAAGTTTTGCCCATTTTCCTTCAGAGTATTACAAAACTCTTGAACAGAATTGTCACATATTAAAGGAGAATATGTCAAAGTAAATGGCGTATATCCAAGAGATGTTAATGCCCTAAAATATAGTTGAAAGAAAGAAAATACCACATTTCTTTGCTAAACTTAATACACATTTATGTATTCCATATAAGCCCTAGAAGGATGTTAGCATTAAGTTTAGCTGGAAACCTTAGCATTAAGTTTAGCATTATGTAATAAATTAAGATCATTTTTTATGCAATATGCCCAAGTTTTTCTAGTTCTACCTTCGCCTTTCTTAACATAAGTCGAATATAAAACATCTACTTTCCTAATCGGACCATCAGATGGTCAACATTTAATATGAGCAAACCATCTAAGACGACTCTCTCTAATTTTATCCGTCACTGGAGCCACACCAGCCTTATCACATATATATTCATTTCACATTTTGTCTCTAAGTATAAAGCCACTCGTCCACCTAAGCATTCTTAAGCATTCTCATCTCATTCTCATCTCAACAACAATTAACTTAGTTTTACGCTTCTCCTTTAAAGGCCAACATTCAACCCCATAGAGCATTGTAGGTCTCACCACCATCTTATAAACTTTTTCTTTTAGTCGAAGCGGTACTTTTCTATCACACAATAAGCCCGAAGCATTCGTCCACTTCAACCAACCAACTTGAATTCTATTAATAACATCTCCATCTATAGCACCACACTTTGAACAATAGACCTGAGATATCTAAAGTGTTCAAACCTTTTAATAATTTGATCACCCATAGTTACAACTTTGTCACTAAAGCTACTACTACTAAAATCACATTCTATTTATTCAGTTTTAGTTCTACTCAAACCAAGGCCTTTAGATTCCAATAGATTCCAATGTATAGATTCCAATGTAGACCTCCATAATTCATGTTTTTCCTGAGCTATTTATCTAGTTTTATCCACAATAAGGATATCATCTGCAAAAAGCATACACCAAAGTACATGCTCCTGTAAATGTCCAGTAAGAACATCCATAACTAAAGCAAAAATAAATGGGCTTAAAGCTGATCCCTGATGTAATCCAACCGAAATAGGAAAATATTTGGCCAATGCTCATTCTGTTTGACACAAGTAAGTGTACATATCTTTAATGACTTGAATATAAGTCCTCTCAAAATCTTTCTTCTCTAGAACTCTCTAAAGGATATCTCTTGGAACCTTATCGTAAGATTTTTCTAAATCAATAAAAATCATATGTAGATCTTCCTTATTTTCTTTGAACTTGTCCATCAAACCTCTCAATAAATGTATAACTTCCATAGTAGGCCTGCTCGACATAAATTGAAATTGATTATGAGAAATCTTTGTAATACGTTAACCTTTATTCAATTACTCTCTCCCATAATTTTAAAATATGACACATCAACTTAATTACTCTATAATTTTTACACTCTTACACTCTTGTGCATCCCCTTTACCCCTTTATTTTTAAAGATGAAGACCAAAATTTTCTTCATCTGCTCCTCAAGCATCTTTTTTCAGTTTTTAAAACAATATTAAAGAGTATAGCAATCCAAAAAAATTCCCAAAGATTTTATATATTTCCACACTTCAATTCGGATATCATCAAATCCTATAGACTTTCCACCATTTATTTTATTTAAAGCCTCATCTATTTCCTTTTTACCAATGCGATGGTAAAAATGAAACATTTTATTATTATTAACTATTTTAAGATCACTACGACTGATTGTATTTTCAAAAAGTTCATTAACAAGTTTATCAAAATAACTCACCCACCTAGATTGAATATATATTTTTAAGAAAAAAAGTTTTTGATTTTCATCTTTAAAACAGTTTACTTGAGTTAAATCTTTACATTTTTTTTTATCTTTGTTTGACTAGTTTATACATATATTTTTTTATCCTATTTAGTATTTAATCTTTTATAAAGATCACTAAAAACAGAATTTTTAGCGCACAGATTGTTCTCTTAAACTCCCTACAGGTCATTTTATATTTTTTTTTAGTTCTCTAAGCTTTTCCACTTAAACCAATTTATATTACATAACTACTTATATTTTATTTTTCATTGCACATTATTATTCCACCACCAACTATTTTTATTTATAGAAATTTTTTCTTTTGGTTCTCCATTTACATCTTTTGCCACCCATTTTACCAATGATTAAAATTTGGTCTATTTTGAATTCTTATAATTGGATGTCAAATGGATAAACAATTGTTTTAATGATTATTTAGTTGATTTTTTTTTCAGTGTGCTTATTGCTTCTTCGTTGTAATTATTTCTATGTATTTCTATTCTTTAATTTTTGTTTTTCTGATGTAAGTTTCTGCCTTAATGTGCATTATGATACTTTTTTTTTGTTCATGAAAGTATCATGCCTGATTTATTTTTCGACTATGGTTAAGTTGATTTTTTTCTGTATATTTGATTGGCTCTTGTGGTCTTTTATTTGCTTATTTATATGTATTCCTTCTTTATGCTGCAGCAAAAGTGAATATGTACGTTGCTTGTGTTTTGCTCAAGAGAATGCTCTCTATGTTGCCACTAACAATGGTTTATTGTATCACGTTGAGATTTGCAATCCCGGGGCTGTAAAATGGACTCAACTCGCCCAAGTGAGTAAAGAATCACCAATTGTTTGCATGGATTTAATGCCTTTGAGATCTTGTAAATCTTCTTCATTTATGGAGTATGTCATTGCTGTTGGTGATGGCATGGGAAAAGCTACAGTCATGAAGGTGATCGGTGGTACATCAACTTCAATGGTGGTTTTCTCTCTTGCTTGGTCTGCTGAAAAGAAGAGACAACTGTTAGGAATCTATTGGTGCAAGTCACTAGGCTGCAGGTGAGTATTAGGTGATTGTATTTTTTTTTGGAGCAATAACATACATACCACAAAATTCTTATATAATTACATCTCACACCTAAACTTTGATATTTACATGTATACCACTCATATCTGTAACATCACATAAAAAATATCACAATTACTAACTTTTTAAAAGTGAACTACAGGTTTTTATATACGGGTTTATAATTCCAAAGTGTTATAAATATAAAAATAAAATTTTAGGAGTTAGATATGTAAATACATAAAGGCTTGTGTGCATGATGTAACTTTTCCTTTTTTTGTTATATAGTGCAGATTTTCAAAGGGTTGATCATTTATGCTCTTCATTAATAATGCAGACACCTTTTTACAGTTGACCCTAGAGGGATGTTAAAACTTTGGAAAATAAACAATGCTTTAGAGTCTGACACTGATGAGAACAATTTGCAACCCCAGGTCTCTTTAATTGCGGAGTTCACATCGTATTTTGGGGCACGGATAGTGTGTCTGGATGCTTCAGCAAGAGATGAGGTAATTCCTATGAAATGCATTTGCAATGTTATACTATTCAATATGTACATTTTTTGTGGGTAATGTACGGAAATACTCAAACATACTAATTTTAAAGGAGGGTGAGATCACATACTTTTGGTTCTTTGGAATTATTACTGTCAGCTTGACGAGGGCACATCTCACTTTTACTTGTTAGCATCAAATTCTTTTTTTTAATACTGTAGTAAATTTCAACTCCAAGTGAGAGCAATTTGCCAAAATTATGTGCATGTGTGAGCATATGTGAGGGTATGATGTAGATATTGACCATTACTATAGAAGAAGGATTATATTCACAAAATTGTGATTTAATATTGGTGTTGTTGTATATCCTTATATATATAAAGCGTGCAATCATTTTTCCGTCTGAAAATTTTCTTTTAATTCAAGTGTTGAAATGTTTTAAGCTATAACTTGTGAGTACCAAAGCCTTTTCACTTAAAGCTGTTGACTTATGAGAGCCGCATGAGCAATTTGTTTACTTGAACTAAATTGTTTGGTTGGTGTGACAACATGCTCGAGCTTACAGCAATATAGTTTTAGAACGTACCTTTACTTGATGTGTGTAACGTGATATTTACTTGTAGGTTTTAGTATGTGGTGATCTGCGTGGTAATCTTACTGTATATCCCTTGTCAGAGGACATAATGAATTCTGTCGCTATTGAAATGGTGAAAAAGGTTTCCTTAATAAATCGGTTTAAAGGAGCACATGGCATTTCCACCGTAACCAGCATCATGATTACTATGTTGGATTTCAACCAAATGGAAATACGCACAGTAAGTTGTTAAACCTGAAAATTTTGTCAGACATTCAAAAAAGGCAGACTGAACTCGAGGAATAAAATTTCTTTTGTTTATAGACAGGTGGTGATGGTTGCATTTGCTATTTCAAGTATGATAAGAAATTACAAGTACTGGAATTTATTAGAATGAAAGAAGTGAAAGAGTTAAGTACAGTTCAAACTGTTTACACAAGTTCGATCCCTTCTATAGAATCTCCAATGGCTGAATATGCAATTGGCTTTACTTCCGTGGACTTTATCATGTGGAACCTAGCAAATGATACAAAGGTATTTCAAATGCTTATTTACGTCTAAATATTCAAACTCAAGACCAATGCTTCTTTTGCTTTCAACAGATGTTAGAAATTCCTTGTGGGGGATGGCGGCGCCCATATTCTTTTCATTTGGGGGCTGTTCCTGAGTATCAGTTCTGCTTTGCATATGTTAAGGTCCGTAGAATTTATTCCTGAATTATTATCAGTCATTGAGGTATTCATAAATCATAACATAAATCTTTTAGTTAAACCAACTTCTGGTAAGAATCATCTGCTTGTTAATAAAGATGGTTTCATTTATTTATCAATTATAATTTTTGTATTATATCAATAATGGGCGCATGCCCAAATGTTTCCAGGATTTTAACATCCATATACATAGGCGGTGGGTGCCTGCCCATGAAAGACAGCAACACACACAGGTTTTGCATCTGCAATACCATGGAAGAGAGATACATACGGTGTGTTTCATATCGTTTCCTCTGCAATCAAATCCAGTAAAACCTTGTGATTCGATGATTGTCACAGGCTGTGAAGATGGAACAGTGAGATTAACAAGGTTAGAAATAGCAATGAGAATCATCGATGTTAGTTTTTTTTTTTTTAATGTTTTCCTATTGCTATCCAACATTGTTTTTTGCTGTTGATTAGCTGTGCAGTTTCCTTCTTGAATAAGTTTATGGTAATTGGTTGTCATTTGTGCTGCCATTCTCAGTTTCTGCATTTGTAGAAATAAGAAATTTGGGTATCTGCTAGCTTAGTTTGGTGAAGATATTGGAAGTTCTTTCCATGAACTTGGGATTGAATCCTGTCTACGTAGCTCTTGCATTCAACTTTCCCAGAAAAGAAACCTGCCATGTAGAGTTTTTTCAAATTATAGTATAGCTAGTTTTTCTGTGTTTCTGTGGATGCACTTTTCTTTTGTATTCAAGGCAATGGTGAATACTCTTTTTTATTATTTAAGATACCCAAGGCAATTGTGGATCTTATCATTGAATTCAGCAGGTGTAAATCTCTGAACTCAGAAAGTTGGCGTGAGTCAAAGCTACTTGGTGAGCATATTGGTGGATCAGCAGTGAGATATATATGTTTTATATCGAAGATATATTCAATTGGGGCTGATCAAACTTGCTGTATCTTGAATGATGTTTTAGATTGCAGCAAAACTGAACCTACCCTACTTATTTCAGTTGGTGCTAAACAAGTTTTAACTTCATGGATTTTGTGTTATCAGACTGCAGATCATACTGACGAGCATCTTGATGTTAGGGAATTAGAAAATACTTATTGTTCTTCCAACTGTAAACATTCTTCTATCTGTTTTCAGTGGCTGGCTACCCATAGCCCGTCAAAATATGCGAGTCCACGGAGAAGGTTGGGAAAACTACCAGACGCTACTGAACATAGAAATGCGTCCGATGCGAAACCAGTAGCATCTATAGTTGAAAATAGAGAGCAAAATTCCAATTATGCATCCATGGATATGCATGAAAATGATTGGAGATACCTTGCAGTCACTGCCTTTTTGGTTAAACATGTTGATAGCAGGTGATAAAATTTTTCTTGTTGCTATTGGATTTCAGGATTTGAACATTGTTTTGTTTTCTGGCTTTCCAGCTTTGTGAGACAAGTAAATGGAAAAAAAAATTGAAAATGATAATTCTTTTATTTTTTAATCAGGTTTACAGCTTGTTTCACTGTTGTTGCTTGTTCAGATGCAACATTATCACTGAAGGCTCTTCTTTTGCCTTATCGCCTTTGGTAAGTAGCATGCAAAGCGGACAACTGATAGTTTAATTGGAAGTAGACTACTCTGCTAATATACACAGATCCTTGTGTCCCTGATATTCCCCAACTCCACGACACCTGTTCTTCAAAAATGATTTTTTGAGATTTTTTTTTTGAAAACACCATTTGACAGGTTTGATGTTGCTTTATTGGTGCCACAACCATCTCCAGTGCTGACGCTGAGACATGTTGCTGTTCCTCTTTGCATCAGTGCTTCTGGTATGTCTCTACATTTGAATTTGCCTAATAATGTGTATGAACTCGATGTTTAATCTGTTCTTTATCGTGCAAATTAATATTAATAAGTTAGCTTGGTAAAATATATTTTAATAATAATGATCATAATATGATAAATTATTAAAAAAATAATTTTATGATAATTTACGGTTTGGCCACTAGTATTTAAAAAGTGATGAAAATCATTATGATTTTTATTTCAAAGGGAATTTGATAATTTCTCATAGGAAATATGCGTATGTGATGATAAAGTATATCTTGTTAATTTTTTGTGACAAATCAAATAACATGGCCATTAAAATAATAAAGCTGTTATTGCGTTTTCAAAAGAGCATATGGTATGACCAGCAAATTATCAGTCGAACAATAGTTTTATTTATTTGATGACTACATTATCATTTAATTTACCACTTATATTTATGGTGAATTGTTTTATCACCATTCATTGGTATTTTTTGTGGGAAATGACCCTAACAATCCTCAGAGTGTAACTACAATGATTCTGTTTATTTCGAATGTTAGCGGCAAAACTGTAAATCAGAATAAAACAGGAAAGTTAAAGAGTAATATATATATATATATATATGCATAACTTAAAAAAAAATAATAAATAAATATTTACAATTATTCTCAGAAATTTCTGCTAATTGAAATTTTTGTCCTAAAGCGGTCAGCCACCTTATTCATTCTAAGAAACAAACAAATCAACCACGGATTCTAGAGAGAGAGAGAGAGATGGCAATGAGTTATGTATAAACTTGAGAGCTTCAAAGAATGCTATCCCGGGACAGCATGTTTGACTGTTTTGTGATGCTCAATTTGCTAATGACTGAACTGAGTGCTAGTTGACTGTGGACGAAGTGCAAATAATGAAATAGAGCCCAATTAGAAGAGAGTCCTGGCTGGCCTCAATATGGATTAATTTCAGATTATAATACCAACTAGAAACTTGGAGGTTGTATCAGGACCAACTAAAATGTTTAAATAGTAAATATATTCTCTATCTTCCTATAAACGAAAGATAGGAAAATTTAAAGTGCATTTAGGGTGAAATGGTTCCTTTTATTCGGCATATTCAATTACATACTGGGCTGGAGTATAGTATGCTAAGGATTCTTTGTTTGCTATTTTGTTCAGTTGAAATGTAAGAAAGCTGGATTGATATTTAGCGATTGAGAGCTGCCTCTTATCTATCACTTGGAGGATCAAGCTTCCAGTACCTTGTATTGGTTCCTAATTATTGGCTAATCTAGGGGTTGCCTTTAATTATATGAAGTGCCAAATAAGGAAGTTTATCAAAATTTATGGTTTTGGTTAAGAAACAAGAAAGATATTACTAGAGGTAAAGTTTGGCCTGATAAATAGCTTCTCAAGTACATAATTCTTGCATATTCTTCATAATCTTTAGGAGTTTCAATTCATGGATTGTATTTCATTATCTTCCAGGAAGTTAAAAGTTTAAGTAGAAGACAGTCTGCCCGAGCAAGTTATAGAATACTGATTTACACCTTTATTTTTCTTATTTGTGATCTTTTCATCTTAGTTGGTGATGCTTCTTGGAACATTTAATTTGATTCGGCTGTCCTGCAAGTTTTATGACTTCTTCCATTAGCTTTATTCAAATAACTATAATTTTCATCTTTGTAGGTAATAACTCAACTCATGTAGCGCATATTGTTATTAGTGGTTCTACAGATGGCAGCATCTCTTTCTGGGATCTTACTGAAACAGTGGAAAATTTTATGCAGCTTCTTTTGGATTATCAGCCTAAATTGTTTATTGACAGTCAAAGAAGGCCTAGAACAGGAAGAGGAAGTCAGGGTGGGCGATGGTGGAGATACTTGATCAACCAACCTAGTGGGAATAAAATGAAAGATTCTATGGGCAAAAACAAACTTAGAGATGGCACATCTGCCTTAAGTATCGAAAATAATACTCCTGAATCCTCATGTGAGCAGGAAAGCCATCTTGTGCGGGACCAAATAGGTAGTCACCATACTAGAAGTTCTGATTCCTCTTCTTCACTTGATGCTCGTTCTATGACCTCTTTAGCAAGACAAGAACTTCTGCCTTTGTTTGTCCTTAGTTCTGTTCACCAGTCGGGCGTCAATTGCCTTCATGTGTCAGAGATGAAGGATTCTAATGGCAAACTAGGGCAAGTTTATTGTGTTGTAAGTGGTGGGGATGACCAGGCAGTGCACTACCTTTCCTTTCAGGTTGATACACCAATGATAAACTCTGCTTCAACCTGTGGTCAAATCATTGATTTTGCTAAACATACGCAGAATGTAAATCAGTATCAACCATCAGGTATTTATATACATGCTATGGCTATTATGCAGAACTTTGTGTTTCACTGAAGAACAAATAATAACATCTTGTAGGATCAAGCTCCGTCGAAAAGTGTTCTTATAACATTATGAATGATGATCATCACATTAGAATACTTCAGAGGCAAAGCGTCAACTCGGCTCACTGCTCATCAGTGAAAGGTACCAATTACGTGATCCTTTTGATTAATTCTGAAGTTGAGATTGGTACTTTCTAATTGCATGGTACTAACGTGTAATGCAATTGAAGACTTTTGATGATAAGAATCTGATAATTGTTTTATTATTTTATACTATTTCTGTATGCTTTGGAATTTGACCTTGATAAATTTTTTATTTTAATTTTCAATCGTGAAAAAAATGAAAGATTGAGATAAGTTATGTAAGGTTACTGTATTGAAATTATCATTTATGCTAGCTATTTATGATAGGAACGTTCTTTAGTTATTATTATTATTCTATTTTTTCATTATTGATATTCTACTTCATCACACACACACACAATATATATATATATATATATTGTGTGTGTTCATTCTATTGGTTTCTATTGGTTAGATATAGGCATATGCATGTTTGTGCTTGCATAACAATTTAGTGAAGTTGTATTTTTTAATCGTGTCTCCTATCTTAAACTTAGAATACTCTTAGTTTCTCTAAACAACATCCCATCAATGTCACATTCTGCTAAGTTATGATCTGTAGTGGCCTACTCTCAAACTTCCTTATGTATTTTATTTGTACTGTATTTGCTTCTACCTTAATAATATCATCATTTTAGCTGTAGACTGTTCAAGTATTTGTTCTTAGTTTCTTATGAATCCTTAGGTCGTTGTGATCCATCTTTGTTACCCATTGGTGATTGCTGGCTGTTTTTTGCTCTTTATCACAATGGCCTCTCTATTAATATTCTTTGTCAATAGTCTCCTTTGTTATTTCAGTCGATACTCTCTATTGATATTCCTTTTATGACATTGATCTCATTGTTGACTCCTTCCATCTTATTCAAACTACTCTCTTTTACAGATTGATGATGCTTCTCTTAACACACTTGCAACTTCTGGACGACATAACCTTTGACTAATTTGTCTCTATCTATCAATGTTTCCAAATTAAATTTGACATATTTTATGCTACCTCGTGTTTGCTGGATAGTGTATCATATCTAAGTTATCACCTGTGCTATTTGTTTCTAGCAGGAAT